TTATCATCAGTAACCTTTGGTAATAAAAATTGGAAATAAAAGTGTATTGTTAGAAAAAATCATGTAAAGAATCTTGATTGGCAATAAGTTTGATTATGTTCTTTTTAAATTTTTTAAAGGTATTGGCTTCTTTAAGTTTACCACTCAGGCTTATAAAATGGTTCCATAGCATTGGGCCACGATAGGAAATGACAAAGCTCGTAAGTTTTGATGTACGGAAAGATTTTTTAAATCTTCCGGTAGATCGAGTATTGTATCGGTTTAGTGTTAGGGAAAATATTTTTGAAAACCTTCGGCGATTTTTTTAACTGATGTTGAAACATAAATTGTGTAATTTTGAAAATATTTAGTTCATAAATATCAAGTGCCCTCATGCTTTTTAGAAGAGGTTAAAGCATTTGTGAAGCGATTTTAAAAATGAATAATGCGTGCTGCATGATTCTGTTGTTTAAGGAGACAGTCGAGTTTAGATTTATTTGTACTACCCCAAACAATATTGCCATAAGATAAATAACTATTTATGAATGCAAAGTATAGTTGAGTTAGTGTAGATTAGTCTAAGATTTGTCTGATTTTATATAAAATGTCAATACTTCTTGAGATTTTATTGCTAATATTTTAAAAATGATCTCTCCAGGATGAGTTTTCGTCTATCAAAATACCAAGTAATTTATTTGTGAATGAGCGTTCAATTTTGGTGTTATTTATAAACAGCATTGGTAAGGATTTTTGAATTTATTAAAACTTTCGTTTAGAATCGAATAAGGAAAACTTAGTTTTATCAATTTTTAAAGATAGACTGTTAGCAATAAGCCAGTTTGGTACTTGTTCTAGTTCATTATTTGCTACTTGAAATAGATAATATTACTACGAAAGAGATAATATTACTACGAAAATAGAATAAAATGGCGTCGTCTGCAAACATAATAGTAGAGATAGTATTTGATGCTTTAAATAGATCGTTGACATAGATTAAGAACAGCAACGGACCTAAGATTGAGCCTTGTGGAACCCAACATGATATTTTAAGTTTGTTTGTCTGAAAGCCATCATTTAGAGAAATAAACTGCTTTCGATCAGTTAAGTAACTGGTAGACCATTTATGGTTTTCGTGGCTTATTCCATAAAATTTTAGTTTTTCTAATAAAATCTGATGGTTAACGGTTTCAAATGCTTTTGACAAGTCAAGAAATATACCTAAGGTGAGTTTGTTATGAGCAGATGCTCCACTGATAACTTCAACAAGTTTCATAAGTGCATGTTCCGTAGAGTAATTTGATCAAAAACCATATTGGTTATAATAAAATATTTAAAGTGACACAAATGGGTAATGTTTCTCCATTACTGTGCAAGGGCTAGTATTGAGTACTTAAATCTACTCAACGGTTTACTTTATATAATTTGAACACTAAGAAATAACTATGTGAGTTTCAATAATATTTTAAATAGTAAGAAGAGTTGTAAGTTAATAAGGTTAATATACAACTAGCATAAGAGAGCATGGCTAAGACGCAATGCACTGCGGGAAATAGTTATAACCAATAGATTATTCGCGGGAAGCCAAATAGGCTTCAACAGCTAGAGCTACTCCAAGGAGGGGATTCATTTTTTGTTTATGTTAATTTTTTTAGATGCCCCAAAAAGTCGTAGGTTGAAAATCAAAATTGCCATATTCTATCATTTTAAAAATTTCAAATTTAGGTCCAGTTATAGGCCACCGTTAAAAATTAGGTTTAAATAAATTATATTTAAATTGCTTTTTGAGTTAAAGTGGTCTTAGTGGTCAAATTAATAAAATTTAGCCAAGTTTATTATTTGGCGCGTTTTATCTAAAATTGAAAAATGTTTATAATCATTTATTTATTGTCATATGGTTAAACATTTTATTGGTGTTTATATTCTTTTTACAGGACAAAATCATCTTTAATATTTTATAAATATATAAACTTTTAGTTACACCTATTAAGTGATTATTTAAAAAAAAAACTGTGGATAGCTATCATTTAAGTAATAAAAGCTATATAAATATATACATGCATACGTATATAGTTAATTAACTTTTTTTAAAGACATTTGATTAAGTACACTGTGTTTAAATACAAACTTTATGCTACTTTTGGCGATACCATTATATGATTTTATGCATTTTTATATTTAATTGACAGTTTGTGTCCTCAATCTATTATATTTTTTTTGTTAAAGAGTGCTATAAAATAAACAAATAAATGAGACTCTTTTTGCATAGAACATCTTTATTTTTAAGAACAGTCTTTCAGATTTTTATTATTGAATCTACATAAAATTACTTTTTGATTTAAATTTGTAACTACTAGACACATAAAAAATGTTAAAAAGTTCAAAACAAGGAAAATAGAAGTATGCAATATTTCTATTTTCCTTGTTTAATAAAATCGATGGAAAAACTCTTCATTCATTTTATTACCAAAAGTAGTTCAAGAGACTAATATACCAATTCAATTTTTAATGTGAAAATTGAATTGGTATATCAGTCAACCTCGAGCACGAAGTTACATTTTTTTTGGATGATTCAAAAGTAGGTTTTGCGTTTTAATAAAATCTTCGCATGCGCAATAGTTCGCGAAGACGTCCTAGGTCTGTGTTTTCTTCAAATTGCAAACCTACTTTTGGATCATCCAAAAGATAACTAACCGTTTCTATATAGAAACAAATTTTTTATTTCAAAATAATTTTTAAAATATTTTTATTCAGATCTAACATTTTTATTGATAACTGACAATTTCAATATTGGCAGTTCTCTTTCCAGCGACTTCATAAACCCAAATTTTTTTAGCTTTGATTTTTTGTGGCAATGTTTTTTGCCAAATTGCTAAATTGCACCATAAAGTTCATCTTTAGGTAAAAATAGATTTTTGTCAAGATTTGCTAATCCACACACTTCTTAAATGAGTTCTAAGCCATCTGGATTTGTTGGAAAAAGCCTAGACAGCGAAGTAATGGAAGTCTTTTATAGTAAAAAACTTTAAAGGCATTTCGGAAACTTATTATTCTTTAATGATAAACATTTTGGATTGGAGAGGTATCATATACATGATCTTGTGCCGATGTACAAGCTTAAAACATTGCTTTGCCTTTTCTCTTAAAAACGCCTTAAAACAACACTCTTCATTGCATTGCAAAGAGTTTAATCTTGTTGTTTTCTCTGCTGAGAGAATTTTCAAGAAACTCGAAAATTCTCTCAGCAGTAAAAAACGTTGCATCCTGCCAAAAAAGGGCTTCTAATGCCAATTTAACTGGTTTTAAAACCGTAACAATCAAATGTGGAGAAACGTCTTTCAATAAGTAAATTATTACTAGGTGTCAAATTCGGATTAGTCATTGCTTACTTCATCTTCGTCAGTTGTTTTTTGCAATTTGTTATTATGAATTTTTCGGAAAGAACTCTTGTACAGTACTTATTGAAATGCTGTACAAAAAAAAAAAAAAAAAAAAAAAAAAAAAAATTGAAGAAAATTTATATAGTAACTTTTTTAATATGGTTTATTATACCTGTAATTTTATTTCCTGGGTGGTAAGGAGAAAATATAATGTAACAAATATTATATCTGTTTAATGAAAATTATAGATAGAAATAAAGAAGAGCATTACCGAAATGCTCTTCTTATTTTCTATCTATAAATTTCATTAAACAGATATAATATTTGTTGCCGTAATGATTACGGCAGATGGTTTTTGTTGTTTTACATATGTTTTTTATTGTTTTACATATTGACCCATATTTCAAACTCCAATACCTGCAAAATTGACCGCTGTGAGTTTTAAGGCAATCAAAACAATTTTTATTTAACAGCCCGTTAATTAAAGCGTAAAAACATTCGTTTCAGTTATAATACTTCATTTTTTATTTGTTATTTGTTATTCGTTTTTTATTGTTTTTGATATTGACCCATATTTCAAACTCCAATACCTGCAAAATTGACCGCTGTGAGTTTTAAGGCAATCAAAACAATTTTTATTTAACAGCCCGTTAATTAAAGCGTAAAAACATTCGTTTCAGTTATAACACTTCATTTTTTTTCGGAAGACTTCTTGTTTGACAATTTTATATGACAAGTTGACCTTGTTGACAAGTTGAAATTGTCATATAGAGCGCTCTTAACTTATTTTATCAGTTTCTTTTTTATTAGTTTCTAAAAGATTCAAGTCTATTTAAAAGGTTCCTAACATTGATATAATACCTTGTTTAACTGAATGTTACATTCTGTCAAGGTTACATTCAATGTAAAGTACTTAAATACTTAATTGATATTCTCTTTGAATAAAATAAGTTATTTCAGTTTGCCGGCAGTAAAGTTACCAATTTTTATTCAAACTTTATTATTTCTAAAATTTATAAGAGGTTGCTTATGCTTTTGAACCTTTACTGGACATACTGTAGCCATGAGCCAAAATTTCAGTTTTGCATCTTATCCAAAATATTTATATACAAGAACTTTTCTCATTGATTCAGAGTATGATTTGTATACTTGTATGCACAGTATTCATACCTGTGTTTTTAAAAGCCCTTAAATTTTTACAGGAGTGTGTACAGTCTGTACACGTGTGTGTGTGTGTGTGTGTGTGTTTGTTTGTAAAAGCATATATATATATATATATATATATATATATATATATATATATATATATATATATATATATATATATATATATATATATATATATATATATATATATATATATATAATTTTGTACGTTTTTCCTCTTAGTTTTTGTTGTTTGACTGTTATTTTTTTTACAAGATATTTGATACAATTAAGTTTAACACTATTTACATTATTCTTTCACAAAAAGAATATTATAATTTTTCTTTTTATACTATAAACAGTACTTTTTTATGTGTGAGATATACTAATTGATTAATTTATGTTGCTTTTTCAGAAAAAATTGTAAAAAAAAAATCATTTTAGCATTTAGTTTAGTTCATAAAACAATTTAAATTTGTATAATAAATGTAATATTTTTTATAGGAAATTTAAAATGGATCTTGATCTCATTATGTGGTATCACCCTTTTTTTAGTCGATCAGACTGTGAAAGGTTATTAAAAGACAAACCCAATGGATCTTATTTAGTCAGAGATAGTGAATCTAGCGATGATAAGGTTTTATCAATTAAGTAAGTTTTTTATGTTATATTTTAAAAAGTTGTTAATAAACTTTTTTCTTAAAATTTTTTTTTTATATAAAAAGCATTTTTAAGCTTTCTTTTTATATTTTTAGTTGCAATAGCAATGTTCATCATTACAAAATCAAGAAAAATGAATCTGGGTTTTATATTGATGTAAGCATTGTACTCATGTGATACTAATAAATAATTAGTTATAATCAATAATAATATTTTTGTTTTAATAAAATAAATATCAAAAAATAACAATAAAATACTAAAAAGGCAAAAAAAAAATAAGGCAAAAAAGAGTTTATAAAAGTTTTTTAGATTAACCAACTTAATTAAGACAACATACTATAAATAAATATAAAATATAAATAGTTGTAAATACATATTATTTATTTTTTACTAGCTGTTTAATAACCATAATACTATCTTTTAAATTTCATAATTATTAATTCAAGCAATTTAACTTTTAATGTTAAACCCTAAATAATAAATTTGTATAAAAATAAATTTTTTTTGGTGAACTATAGTTGCAATAAAATTTAACATATATTTTTAATAAAAAAATTAAATTAGAAATTAAGTTACCTATAAATCTAGGTAACTGTAATGGAATGTTTATTTGTCATCTTGTACTATTATGATAACTACTCATTATATATAGAAACAATAAGTTAGACTTATCAGAAAGTTACCATTTTAATTCTGATCATGTAAATATATGTAATATAATATAATATATATATATATATATATATATATATATATATATATATATATATATATATATATATATATGTATATATATATATATATATATATATATATATATATATATATATATATATATATATATATATATATTTATACATGTACCAAAGTTAAGTTTTTGCTGAAACCCAAGCTTTGGCTGAAGTCACTCTTAAAGCTGAGGCTTCGGCCAGCACTGAAGCTTATGAACTTACATTAGTAAAATTTGCTATCTTGCGGAAAAAACACAATAAACAAACAGTTCTATTTGTGTTAATAAGGTTAACTATATTATAACTAATATATTATGGTTAATGCAAAAGAATTCAAAGATGCTCTGGATGCACTGGAGAGTAAACTAAGAATTGAATATGAATCAAAGATTAGTAATGCTGTAGCAGATTTGAAAAAAACAATACAATCATTAGTATTAACAGTTGCTGATTTAACTAAAAAGAATGAAGATTTAAACAACAAAGTTGTAAATGTTATTGTTCCTGCTCCGAATGAAGCTTGGAATATTGTAACAGGTAGAAAATTAAATAAAACTCAATCTCAGATTGATATTATTAATACAGTTTCAAATGAAAATAAAGAAATTGAACGAAGAGTGAAGAACGTAATAATTTTCGGTTTAGAAGAATCCAATAAAATTGATGGCGCAGATATAAAGAAAGATGACAAAAACAAAGTATTAGATTTATTGGATCAAGTATCAATAGATAAATTTCATATGGTTCGTATTTTTAGATTAAAATCTAAAAATGGTATTGCACCAGTAATTGTCGAGTTAAGAAATAAGGACACGAGAAATGACTTTATAAAAAAATCATACCGTAATTTTAATGATAATTATATAAATCCTGATTTAACTGATGCTCAGAGAAACTTGGATAAACAACTCAGGGATAAATGTAGAGAATTAAATAAACCACTCAACCTGAAAGTCGATTGGGACCAAGTTAAAAGCTATCACGTAATTAGAAATAAACAAGTAGTGCTGATAAACAAATAGCAATTGTTGTTCAAGTCATCACAGTATAACACACATAATTTCAAACATTCTTTACATACACCTTGTCAATATCTATATAACCAATTAAATAACCCTGATACAGACACTGGAGGAAGTAATCATTTGAATTCAAGTGCTAATACACTGCTGGTAAAGAAAATGAATCAAGACCTTCATAAAGGTTTAAAAACAGAAAATATATATTATGGATAATATATATTATGGATAATATATATTATGGATATATATACCAGACATATATATATATATATATATATATATATATATATATATATATATATATATATATATATATATATATATATATATATATATATATATATATACTAGGTGTTTTGTTAAGTTCCTAATTTAAAATCAAATTTATTCCTAGTAAACTAAGAATAAATTTCCCAAATATACCTCCCCTCCCCTGAGTTTAAAATATGTACCAGAATTGTATGGGATCCTTTTATATTCTTTCTTCTTCTACTCCACTTAAGTGCTGCATACATTGATTGGGCAGCATTAAAATAAATAAAATACCGCCTGTAACAGTTATTAAAGATTAATATGAGATTAACACAAAATTAGACCTGGTTTCATAACGTCAAAGCAAATTTAGCTCCGATTTCCAACGATATATTCAGAATTATATATTTTTTTATTCTAAAAAATAATCAGTGTGTATTAATTATTATTGAGAATTTTATCCTTATATATCGTTGCCGTTTTATGTTAAGAGTATTTTTTTGAAGATATTTTTTTTTCACAGTAAACACAAGCTCATAAATTTTATATTTCACATTTATTGCGAGTTCAATTTTATAATTAATATTAACTTTCTTTATACATAAATCACATAGCGAAATAAAGTTACAATTACAAAGTCTCAGCAAAAACAACAACAAATGTTGTTTAATTACAAAAGATCACAAGCAATTGAACATTATCGTGGCAACGAAAAATACCAATAATTATTTTTTCATGCATAGTCATAAAATGTTTTTATGACTATTTTTCATTCAAACATTTAAATTTGATTTTATGTTTTAAATTCAAGCAAGCAGTGAATTTTCTTATTTTTTAAATTTCTAGTGCCAGTTTTTTGTAATAAAAAAAATATATATATTCTTGTTGTTAAAGGTATTTAATTTACATTTTAATATACGTATTTAATTTATGTTTAAAATACAATCAACCAGTAAAGTAAAGAAAACTATTTTCATTAAATAAATTTCTAGAACCTGTTTGTTATAATCAAAAAATTAATTCAATTTATATAACTTTTCAGCCAAAAAGGGCGAGCATTTATGATAAAGAAGTAGCATTTATGGGTGTTAAACCAAACAAATTTGTAACTTTTTAAATTGTTTTTTTTTTTTTTTGCTAACTTTTTAAAATAATATTTGCTGTTATTGGAACACATTGCAAAAAATTACTTTGAGTGATATTAGGGATTTTCGAAAAACCCCAATTCTCAAAAAGTTTTCTTTGCAGTTATGCAAGAGCACAGTTATACCAATAAAGGAAACTTTAATTCAAGTTTTAAACAGTAAATTATGATTTTTTATGTTATTTTTTTAATTAGTTTTTAATAGTAATTAATTTTTAATAATTTGTAGAATTGTTATTAAACTTTAAATAGGCAAACTTTATTAGGAGAATGGGATTTTTTTCACTTTTAAATTAGGAATTTTAATTTTATGAGCATTTGGGAATACTGCGTTTGACGGGCCCCACAGGGCTAGGTTATACCCTGATATATATATATATATATATATATATATATATATATATATATATATATATATATATATATATATATATATATATATATATATATATATATATATATATATATATATGTATATACATATGTAAGTTGATTTTAATAAAAAGGCAGCGTATAACTATTTTTAAATATATTTTGATGTAAAAATATATCAACGATATTTCGCTGACCTATTGTGGTCAGTGTCATCAGGTAATAATAAAAAACGTTACAAAATAACATAAAAACAAACCGTTTAAAAAGAAGACATTAAAAAGCGTCAAATATAAAAACCAATTAAATATAATAATGACGTCAGTTAAATTTTTGTCAAAATGGGTCCCCAAGTTCTTGTTTTAACCTTATCCCCGTCATCTCGATTTAGAACACCTTCCCCAATACCTATCTCACATCGAACTTTCGCTTTGTTAATCTCAAGAGATTTTCTAATTTTTCGTATCTTGTATTCTTGAACGACTGCCAAGGTCTTAGGATTTAGCCAATCAAAGTTACCACGGCATGTTTTGGAATGTTCCATGGCTCCTGAACTCGACCATTTTTGATTTTTGCAAGCTCTTTGGTGTTCTGCACTTCTTGAAATGATTTTCTTTTTGGTCTCACCAATATATATATTTCCGCATGAGCATTTAAGTTGGTAAACCCCCGGATTTGAGTTCGGAGGTAGTTTAGTTTTGTTGTTGCATAATATATTACTTAAACTAGGAGCTGAAGTAAATATAACTCTGATGTTTTGTTTTTTAAATTCTCTTCGGAGTTTTGGGCCAATAATAGGTATCCAAAGTAGTTTAACAAACTTTTGATCTAACTGATTAGATGTAGTATTTTTTGAAATGCCGTCTAAATAGTTTTTGGTTATTTTAATAAGATTATTTTTATTATAGCCGTTTTCAAAAAATGTATTTATGAGGAAATCAATTTCTTGTGAGAGATATTTTTGAGAGCAGATTTGTTTTGCTCGACATAAAAAACCTTTAAAGACGCCAATGGTTATGCTCGGGTTGATGTTGGAGTTTGGTTTTATTTGAACATTTGTTATCGCATCCTTACGGTGTATTTGAAACTCATAAAATCCATTCATTGTATTTGTAATACAAATATCTAAAAAATTAAGTTGTTTTCTTTTGTTTTCAAGTTCAACGGTATATTTTATGGAGGGGTTTTGTTCATTTAAAGCTTTAAGAAATAATTCTTGCTTTTCTTTTGAATCGAAGCCAGCATGGCTATCATCCACATATCTTTTATAAGTTATTGGTTGGAATGAATTAACAAAGGCTATATCAAGTGCTATTTTTTCTATATTTTGCAAAAATGCTTCAGCTATGACTACCATCAATGATAAACCAATTGGACCTGAATTAGGTAAAATTCGGATTTTATCTTCGTATAAAAAGTAACATATGCTTAACGATAGTTCAATTAATTGGTGTATATCTATGAGAGTTAATTTAGTCCTAGTTTTTAAATCTTCAAGATCATCGTTCAATATGTTAATAATAACAGGAATTGCTTCATTGATCGGTACGGATGGATATAAATTAATTACATCGAAAGAAACCTGAATTTCATTAGGGTCTATCTTCCATTCTTTAGCATCGTTGACAAAGTTTCTTGAATTAATTAGTCGAGTTATGTTTTTGTTTAATGTTGGTTGGATAATTTTAACCAGATACTCAGATGTTCCATAAGGAGGTGTGTTAATAGTGGAAACAACAGGACGCATTGGGTAGTTTTTTTCCGGTTTGTGTGCTTTAACCATTCCATAGATTCTAGGTGGAACGCAATCTGATGGATACATTTTAAAATAAGTAGCATTGTCTAACTTACCTTGTTTTCTTAATTTACATAATAGTTTTTGAAATTTAGTAGTGAATGTGGGTGTTGGGTCGTAATCAATAATTTTACTATTTTTTATTTGTTATTCTAATTTCGCTTTTGCTTCATTTTTGCATAATAAAGCAAAACCTGTTCCTTTGTCAAAGGGATATATCTTTAGATGTGAATGTTTTTTCAGGTTTTGTAAAGAAAGGCGTTGTTGTTTTGTTAAATTATCTTTTATTTTTAACTTTAAAGAACTGGTTAGAATTTTGGAACAGTTTTGTCGAAGAATCTCTGCTTGTGTTTGTTTATTTTGTTGTTCAAGTTCCAAGGCGCAAGTTTCAATATTAGTGATTATGTCCATATAAGGGATGTTCTTTTGTATTGGGACAAATTTTGGACCAAGATTAAGTAGTTCAGTAGTTGCTTTATCAAGATTAATATTTGTTAAATTTAGTAAAGCTGGTTTTAAAATTCGGTTAGGACGATTTTTTTCAAAATTGATTTTATAACTGATGTCATTTTTTAATTTATAGAATTTTTCTTTCATTTTAGTTTTTTTTAAAGAATAATGGTAGTTCTTAGATTTGTTCGTTACATTATTAATTATCTCATAGTCATTAGATCTTATTTGAGATTGAAGATATAAATTTAATTCATCAATTAACTTCTTACTTGAATATAATCTTTCTTTTGCTTCATTTCGAGCATGAACTAATAATTTTTTTCTGCATTCTTTCATTATATTTTCAGCTTTTTTGGTACGTAGTGGACTTTTTATTTTAAACGATTTTGGAATTATATTGTTTGATATGCATTTTTGAAGAAAAACAAGTTGATTTTTCGCAATTGCATTTCGTATCTTCAAAGTTTGCAATTTTTTTGTTTCATTGTAAATCTCTTTGCCGTAAAGAGCAGTGATAAAATCTTTAAAAGTCATTTCTTGTTATACGATATATATATATATATATATATATATATATTTAATATGTAAGTTGATTTTAATAAAAAGGCAGCGTATAACTATTTTTAAATATATTTTGATGTAAAAATATATCAACGATATTTCGCTGACCTATTGTGGTCAGCGTCATCAGGTAATAATAAAAAACGTTACAAAATAACATAAAAACAAACCGTTTAAAAAGAAGACATTAAAAAGCGTCAAATATAAAAACCAATTAAATATAATAATGACGTCAGTTAAATTTTTGTCAAAATGGGTCCCCAAGTTCTTGTTTTAACCTTATCCCCGTCATCTCGATTTAGAACACCTTCCCCAATACCTATCTCACATCGAACTTTCGCTTTGTTAATCTCCAGAGATTCTCTAATTTTTTTAAACTTTGATTGGCTAAATCCTAAGACCTTGGCAGTCGTTCAAGAATACAAGATACGAAAATATTAATATACGAAAATATTTCCTCAATTGTTAAGAAGCATAATCTGATTGGAACTGTTGCTAGTGTGTCTGGCAGAGGTCAAAAACACAAGACCACTAGTGCAATTGATCGCAATGTCATCATTAATGTGAAGAAAAATAGATTTGTTTCTGCAGCTAAATTAGCTTTAAAAGTTCGAGAAGATCAAAATATCACAGTAACCCTTTAAACAATTAGAAATCGTATTAGAGAACAAGGATATAGAGGTAGAGTAGTTCAAAAAAAACCTTTTTTAACTTTAAAACAAATAAAACATCAATTAGAATTCTCAAAGAAGTACGAAAAAATGCCAATATTTTATTGGAAAAAAATTTTGTGGTCAGATGAGTCCAAATACAACTTTGTCTCATCAGATGGAGTTCACAAAGTGTGGTGAAAAAAAAAAGTTTATAAATTAAATTGTTTGCGAAGTAGTGTAAAGCATGGAGGAGGAAATGTGATGGTTTGGGGTAGTATGAATTGGAAAGGAGTAGGGAAATTGACATTTAATGATGAAAAAATGGATGCTTCAATGTATTGTGAAATTCTTAAAG